GTGTGCTCAGTGTATTTGCCGGGTACCCTATTAAGTGTTCCTTCTGCCTCCAGCCATGGGTCAATAAAAGATAGATGTCCTTTGTGAAGCACTGTACTCTGTATATTTATCACTGTTTAACCCTTATTTTTTAGGAAAATAGGTTTTGGTTAGTTCAAAATGAAAAGGTCATACAGATAATCTTCTCAGCCTCAAGCATGAAGGTTTTTTTGTCTTCTTCTGATGCTTGAAGCATTTGCTTTGACACATCTTTTGAGTGTGGTTACTAATACTAACCTACATCCTCCCAGTTCTACCTTCTGTGTAGTCCAAGTTGTATTGTATATGGTATAAAAAACTGAGATAGAAAAGAACATGCTTTAAGAATTGTTATAAAATGAAGATTTGAAAGCTCTGGGGTCACCTCTAGAGAAAGACTTACTAAAGGGTTCATATGCCTGTCATTTGACCCAGGCCAAGGAGCTGACAAATGAGAGTTTACATCTTCTGGGAGTACTCTGAAAGAGTCTGAAAAATCTACCAGTCAGGGATATAGGAAATGGCAGAGCAAACTGAAACAGCAGTGTTCCGTAAGACTTCTACAAAAGCCCCATGACTTCTTAGATGTAGGCATTGTGTTAACTCTGAAGAAAGGCTCCCCAGAAACTTTGTAATTTTTGAGGTGTTACAGTTTAGCTACATATAGCATCTGAGAAGTCAGCTAACGCTGAGGTAAGAACGCCAATTGGTTATTCTTTTATCCTGTATCTTCCTTATGTTTGTTTCTGTGATTGTTACCCTACAAAAGCATATTGTGCTTCTCCATCCCATAATGTGAAGGGTTTATTCTCAAGAGATGGAGACTGCTATATCTTAAAGCTGTTAAAAACAATCCTACTCCGAGTCCTCTTGGGCCTTCTTCACTCATTTTCTGCCTCTGTTGAGAAAATCGAGTAACAAGAGACCAGTGACATCATCTGAAACGGTAATTTTCAGTTCTGGACTGTGACATCCTGCCTTAGGAAGTATTATGCTGGTTTCCATGAGACTATCACCAGAAGCACAGAAACTACTGAAGACTGTAACAAGACTAAACTGTACTATGACATTTTGTTCTTTGGACCTGCACTGACTTAAGAGGAATGTACAGAATGTGTTTCAGGGGAATTGATGGTCGCTTATTTGCAACTGTGACCATCAAGCTCACAAAACTTACCCCACTACATTCCTGGCAACTTACTACGAACTCTTAATAAAACCTTTTTAAAAGCTTATTTTTCCCATGTAACAAATTCTGCAGACAGTCCTGTTGACTTTGAGTAATTCTTCATGCAGATATGATGTCTGAAATATCTTGAAGGATTTTGAGCCATTTTCAGGTATCAGTAACTACCTGTTGCCACCACTGAATAATCTGATTAAAAAAAAAACACAAAACCATGAGAAGAACACATGGCATCCTGGCTGTATATAATTCAATACTCAAGACTGTCCTCATTCTTGCCTCCTGTTGAAGCACATCTGTCATGTAAACCAGTAGCTGACGGACATAAAATTTATGCCTGCCTGGGTTCTGTCAGCCTTAACTTGACTCAAAAAGATCAGTTTATTTGTGATGAGGGAAGTCATATTCTCCTTCTTAGAAAAGTATTTGCTAGCAGATCAGTGGCTAGTATCAGTGTGAATTGGGCAGCAGGAGGGAAAATTTACTACAATCAAACCTGCAATAATCGTTGCATATTTGCATACTGTGAAATAAGCAATAAAGCATGCCCTAAGCTCGTTCCAGGAGGTTGCCTGTACACACTGTAACTTGAAAGGAAAGATGAAAGCAGAAGATTCGATTCTGTTATAGTCCGTCTTCTGCATGGTAAAACAAGATTTAAGTTTTTCACTATAAAGAAAAATAACCTGCCACAGTGCCTTTCACAGCATGCTAAAGCAGTAGCTGAAACAGCCATCATCTGGTGAGCATGCATTCAATGTATCTGCTGCCAGCCTTTGGTGTTGGACTAACTTATGAGACTTCTTTTTTCATGTGGGAAGATAAAAGTAAATAAGCCTAGTGGCAGTATGATTTGTTGTGGGACAGGGAGAAATCTAGAAGCAGTCTCTACCAGTGTTATTCCTTGATCCTCTCTTTGCTGCTTCATCAGTTCTTGAAGATCTGCTAGTGAACTAAGGCAAAGGTAAAGGTTTGTAGATGGTCTTACGAAACTCAGTGTCTTCAATGTGTTTGGAGATGACGAAACAATGAAACTGGGAGTTCCTTTTAAAGCAGATCAGTCCACAAAGGATAGATTACTTCTGTCTTTTTCATTCCAGAATCTGGACACACCTTTAGGAGCTGTGATTAAACACAGTTGAAAATACAAACCAAAATTAGTATACTTGCTGGATAGGAGGTACGATCTAACAGAACTCAGTGAACAGAGTGGGTATCTGGATATTTGCACCTTTACAGGCTCCCCATGTAAACAGCAGAAACAAAGCCATTGCTGTTTTGGTAAAAGTTTCTGTTAAGTGTATTATCCTCCTTTAAGATTGCTTTTTGGTCGCGGATTTTTGGACTTTGAAAACAGTGGAAGGTTATGCATGAATTAATGCAGTCATACGTTGACATGTCGGCATTTCACTTACTTAGGACATGAAAAGCAGGAGGTGTGATGTGTGGTTCCTAACGAGCGGCCAAGAATTGAGCTGGCCTCACTCCTGTTGAAGTGACAGCTTATTATTTATGAAAAAAAAAGAAGCATAAAGGATGGACAAACAAGATAGCGCTGATCTCAAGGTAAGCCTGTAGAACTATAAGATTGATATTCTGCAGCAGGACTGCAGGAGAAGACATCTCAACAGTTCTGATATCTAGACATAACAGGATAGTTATGTGGACTTCAAGCTACTAAAATATCTGTTATAAAACATGCTTTCATATTAGTGAAGTGCTGGAGAATCTGGTGTGAGAATCCTTTTGTATGGCTTTGCAAAGCAGATTTTTAGGTCTTCATAATAGAATACAAATGGTGAGTCTTGATTCCAGGGAAGATAGGGCATTTCTCATGTCTGAAAGAAGATGCACAACTTAGAAATGGCAGAAATTTGGAATTAAGAAAATGCTGCAGTCAGAGGAGTATGTGCACCTAGCTGTGTCCCAGCTGAAGTGCAGAGCATCTGCATGTGCTGGGATACGTATGTTTCAGGCTTCTTACAGGGTTCAGATTCATATGAAGAGTGACTGGTGTATGTTATTAAAAGAACATTAATTTATAAACATCAGGGAAACTAGACAATTTGAGCTGAAAGTTTCTGTGCTGACTCAGGATTACCTGTTAGAGAACATTCAATTGAAAATAATATCTTAAAAGGTGTAGCTAGGAAAAGAATGAACATGCCGTTCATCACCTGCTAAAATTTCTAGCAGTGTATTCTGTTATTGAAAGCTGTAACGCTTTTCAAGTCCTACTGTTTAAGAAGATCAGTGTAAGAAGTCTAAAGACAAAAATGGGTGCAGTGGAAGAAGCAGAAACATACATCTGGCAGCAGTTTTCTTATCCTGGTGTTTGAAAGAATAGTTCATGTGAAACCACTGCAGAGTTTACCAGGTAATGTTCCAAAAGGCCCTGAGGCACACCCCAGAGCTGACCGGCTTCTGTGCTGTTTTTTGGGGTGCTGCTGAGCCTTGGGTCTTGACCTGACAGTGGGAGTATCTTCTCCCTGGCGCTCTTGGAGGCTCTGCTCCCAAGCTCCTGCACTAAGATGACGCGGTCTGAAGGAAGAGCTCTCCTGTAGGGAAGGAAGAGAAGGAGGGAGAGCTGGGCACCATAGAGGAAGACGAGACTTGGCTGTGAAGGAAAATTAGACCAGAAGAAGGGAGAAACATCTAGAAAGACTACATGGATAGAAAATAATGATAAAATCCAGAGGCAGGTAAACACTGGAGCTCACAGTCAATACAGTGGCACAACTGAAACCAACAAAATAAAAGAAACAGTAGGGAAAATACAAAGAGGGCAGAGCAGAGAAACAAAAGAAGTGCACGCTGGGATTGGTTATTAGGAAGAAGGTATTTGGGGACTGAATAAAAGGATTTTTGAGTCAAGTTTCAGAAACAAGTTGGAGCAAACACAGAAGAATGGAAACAAAATGAAACTCAGAATACAGGGAGAATGGCATATGCCTGTTGTGTTAGTCTGCAGTAGGTACAACCAACTGTAATTGCTGCACGTGCTTGTTTTAGTCAGATGGCTGTGATCCTGCAGGGCACAAAGACACCTGCTGAAAGTGTTGAGGTTCATCCTCTTTCTCCTTGTTTTGTCAGTGTGTAAAAGGGGATAGAAGAAGATCAAGAACCAGAGTATTCAAAAGCTTGGATTTGCATTTTAATTTCATCACTTTATGAAGATTTTAATTAATAACCTAGTCATGTACTGGGTATTTTGTACACTGGTTGAGCTGTTCATCATATTGCACTGTAATGCAATTACTGTTTTTCACCTTTTGCTTTTCCATAACGTGTTGATTACATATGATTCAAGTCTGCATAATTCGGGAGAGAATTGTTGGCTTCCTCTTACACTTCCCGTTACATTTATCATGACTGCTGTAACAACCTTACGTGTTTTCTTTTCACAACACCCTAAAACATAGCTAGGGGAAGAACTTAGGGTTTAGAAGGGAAGCTGAAATACAGGCAAAGTCGAGCCAAGAACCGTATGCCGAGTTTGGGATACCTGTGATGCAGTTTCTCGACGTGGTTAAGCACTAGGAAGGGTCGAAGCAAAGCGTGGCTGGCCCGGGGGTCACGGTGTCAGCGAGGGGCTGCGAGGTGGGGAAAGCACTCAGCTGCCCCACGTCGGAAGCCTCTCCGCGTGCCCTGCGGCAGAGTACACCTTGCAGCGCCGAGGCAATAAACCAACCGGTCAAATCCAGAGCGCAGAAGCCGGGGGTAAAGGACGGCGTCCCGGAGCCGCCGCGCCCCGCCAAGGGCACAGCCCGCCCCGCAACCCCAGGGCGCGGATCGCCGGTGCCATGGCGGCGTGGCGGGACCTGCTCTTCTTGCAGCTGGGCTCTGTCTGCCGCGGGGGCCGGGACTGGCGGGGAGGCGGCTGGCGGCACCCGTCCCCCGATCGCTGCTCGGCGCCGGAGGAGCTACGACGGCGAGCACACCCGCGCCGGTCCCGGCGGGGGGGCCGCGACGCCGCTGCCCAGCTGGTGAGGGCAGGGGGCGGGCGGGGGTCTCGCCGCTCTCTGCACGGGGAAGGCCCCGCGGGGGGGCGGCACGTGTTCGGGGTGGCCCTGCTCTGGGAAGGGGTGGCGGTGGGGTAGCCAGCTAAGGCTAACCACCCACCTGCTGCTCTTTGTCCGGCGGTACACGGTGCGCTAGCGGTGTCACGTCGGTCTATGGCGTCGGAGTTCAGCTGAAAAAAAGGCGAGGAGACCTGGGGCGGGAACACACCTACCTGCGGGACTGACGGGCTGATGGCAAAGAGAAGCTCCTTAAGGCTACACGGGGCTGTTCTGCCAGTGATTTTATGTCCTGGTGTCGGTGCTTCTTCCTCTGTGCTTCTGCAGATGTGCGCTTGAGTGACTTTATGCACGCACACCTGCTTGTGTTCTAGTAGCCACGAGTGGCTTCCAGCAAAAAGGGTTGCCCCCACAGCAGGGCACAGTGGTTTTGTGGTAGCGTTATTTGAGTGCCATGAGGTTTAGAACAGAGATATAAAATGTAAGAAAAATGCTCTAGTAAATTTTCACTACTTTCTTTTTACCGTGGTGCTGACTGAAGCCTTTTTTTTTTTTTTTTTAATATAAAGATGAAACGTGTGTGATTCAGATGTTGGGGTTTTAAGAACAGCACTCTGTGATTGTAGGTAAAACTGATACTGGATGGTATTTCGCATGGATCATGCTGTAGCAGCATGTCTCATGCATCCATTTCTGATGTACTTGCTGGTATGAGGAATACATTTACAGTGGAATATTCCTTGTAAGTGTTTATTAATACAGTTTTCAAAATACGCAGTTATCTGCTTGTACACTAAGAAAAAACAGGCTAGTGTTTTAAGTCGTGAACACCTGAAGTTAAACCACAAACTTGTTTTCTTGGTACCAGGAGGAAGTGGCCAGTTTTTAGAGATTTAGTGTATTTTGGATCTACAAGGGGAATTGCAGTGTCATCTGTAGGGATAAGCTTATACTGGTATAAGGCTAAAATTAATTTAAAGAAGCATCATCAGTGGCTTTGTTGGTGGGTTTGTTTTTTTTTTTTTAATAAAAAATATGTCCTGAAGTTGTGAAATCAGTTTACAGACTTTTCTTTCTAAGTTTTATACCAAAGTAAAGTAATTTAGTTTTATTTAAAGCAATAATAAGCTTATATAGTGGTATTAAAAAATGATAAACACCAAATAGGCTAGGTTATATTTAAACCTAAGTTTCCTTAATTGTTTTGTGGCTTGATAAGGGACAAATGCTGAAGCTTTCTTGGCTGTTACAAGGTCATTGGCCCCATAGGGAGTGTGCTGAAGTATGTTGGCCCTGGAAATAACCAGTATCAGGAAGAAAGCCTAAGAATCATACAGAACCTACAAGAGAAAGACATTTCTCTCTGGGCTCCACTTTCACTTTTTTTCTTTCTTTTTAATTGTAGTAGGGACAGGGAGCGGATAAGATCATTCTTACCTCCTCCCACCATGCATGAGCACCTAAGTGGAAAGCAGTAAGTCATATAGTAGCTTTAAAAGAGCAGGTGAATTTAAAATATCTGTAGCTTATAGAACAAAATGAGGTTTTGGTGAATGTCATTCTGTCCATGCAGCATGCACAGTGCTCCACTGTGGGCCGAAGGTAAAGTTTTCACAAACATCTAAACAATTTATGTGAGTAAGGCTCACGGTTGTTGGCATGTAAGAGCATGGTTCCCTCTGGGACCAGTCGGACTTGTGTATGTCGTGGCTGCTTTGCTTGCATAGAACCTAGGGCTGGGCAGCGGCAACCGTCCACTCCTCTCTCATCCCAAGGAATTCTTGTTCATCTCTGTGTAACCACAGTGGGAGATGCCCAGAGATAATAGAAGACAAGTTTTAATGGTCATGGGGCCAGAACTGTCCTCAATTTATTTTATTGTCATTAAAGTGGGGTTGTGGTACAGGTTAGGAAGTCAGGGGAAGTGTGAAGCAGTAGAAGGTCACTCCCTTCCTGCTGCTGTCATCACAACTCTGAACATGGCTGATGTTATAAATAAGGTGGCACAGAACATGCTGGGCTACATATACAGTGTTCATCAGAGTGGATCTAATCTGGTTAAATCTGCTGAAGCTGAACAAAACCTTCCCAGGAGGAAAATCTACATGAAGTATGCATGAATCCTTTCCTACATCTTTTTCTAGATAAGCCACTCCTTCATCCTGCCTTTTCATGACTCAATTATAGATTTATTTTCTGCTCAGTAGCACCATGTCAGCTGAAGAGGTGGGTCCCCTTACATATATCCCCTAGCAAGCTGATCTATAGGCTTTTAGGTGCTATCCAAAGAGGTTGTATGTCCAAGTTGGGTAATCCAAGTTTCTGAAAACTGCACTAAAGAGTTTGAGACTCTTCAGGCATTTCACTGCATGACTGGACACTGAGGCGGCCGTGAGTTCCAAGTTTGATCTTCCCTTGGTGTTGTTTTCAGACTGGCTCTATCAGCTGTTGTGTAAATCTTCCCCGATTCTTGTAGTACGTAAACATATTTCTCTGTAGCGTACATACTAGGTGAATCCTTGTGATCCGTGCTGTGTTCTTTGAATTACCAATTCTTTTGCTTTACATTCTTACCTCTAAAATTTTGCCTCAGTTTTTGAGAGCTAGTAGCACCTTCTCTTGCCTGTCCTGAAAGAAAAGAGGCTCCTTTGAGGGGCTATAGCTCTAAGTAAAGTGTGTAAGCCTCAAGAAAGGCAGGATTTATTAAGCACTTGTCTTCATCCTTTCCTTGGAGCTGGCATCACTGTGCGTCTCTGCTGTAGTGTGGTTGCTAGTATGCGCTATTGTAAGTTGTCCAGTTCCTTCTGTCTGCTTGTAGGGGAGCAGACAGTGGCATCTAAGAACAGTTTGTTGCTGTTGTTTTCGTCAGGGAAAAAGCTGAGTGCTGTCGTGCTGCATGTTGAAAAATACAGGTCAGAAAAAGGGGGTTTTAAAACCTATTGGTGTCGTGACATCTTGTTGCTACTGTTTCCAAATCAAATGTCCTTTGGTTGGTAATTAAATGGGTGTGTCTGATTCTTCCTAATCATTAAGTCAGTGATGAGAATTGGGTTCAGCCCTTTTCAGTGTTGTCAGTATTGAGGAAATTCTTCATGGGCGCTGTGTCAGGGCAGACGCTCTCCTCCTCGCCTTCACTGGTTTCAGGTGTAATGGTCTGGAACTTGGTAAACACTCCTTGGTGTCAAAAAATATCATGTTCTCATTATAAAAGTGGTTTCCTAGCTGCCGTGTGGTGCTAGGGATTACACAGAGGTGATGAGGGACACGGTCACATCTGCAAGGGGTTGGTAGCCTGTTCTGACTGCAGTGTCAGTGGGGTTAGGCTGCATTGCTGAGGTCAGACTGTGGATACAGATTTTTCAGCAGCCTTGGCTGGGGTGGGATGATACCAGGTTTGATCACAGTCCTGCTCCTGTAAAGTACTGGTTTTGTTTATGTTATATTGGCACAGTTTAACCCCCAAAGAGTCGTAGATGAGCTTCTACTGGTGCTTACAAAATATATGCCATGCAGCCGTGGCCCTCTCATAGATACCTGCCTATCCCTGCTCTGGCCCTTCCCTCACTTCTCATGCTGCTGCAGCTCACTAGAGCATGCAAACAAAGCTGCAGCTGGACAGCTTGATGAGTAAGGAGTGCTCCCAGGAGGCTGGCTGGCCTTTGAGGAGAGGTGTTGGCAGCAGGATGGGGCACAGGCCTTTTAGGCTGCAGGGTAGTGTGACAGGGAGCACAGCCTGGTGTGGTGGGGATCGGGAGTCGCAGCCTGGTTTGGTGCAGGGGAGCAGTGGTGATGGCTGCCAGGTCGTCCTGTGCAGCCCAGCATAAACATCAACCGAGGCTGCTCCTCACTGCCTGGCCCTGGGGAAATCCAGGCCTTTGGGGGTCCCTTGGACTGCTGTTCCAACCTCCAGAGCAAGAAACCAGATGGTAAGGTTTGAACGTGTCTTGGCACATGAGGCCAAAAGCACAGAAAGACCCTGTGGAGAGCCCTAGGGTGTGTTCAGATGGCCTCTGTGGCAAAGGCGGAGGACGAGTCTGTCTCAACAAGACCCCCAGCGGCTGCTCCCAGCCTGGGTCTGCCTCTTCCTCCGGCTGGGTTGAGGTGGCTGTTCATGAGTCTGTGGTGGTTGGTAGGTGAATACTGTGATTCCTATTTAAAAGCAAGACAGCACTGTAAAGAAAAGCTTTTTTTAGTTTATTTGGTTGATTTTTGCACTGTAGCGAGGTGGGCAGAGCTGAGGAGAGTGCTGAGGCATGGCCAGCTGGGAAACACAGGGTGGGGCCATACCTTCAGACTCCTCAGAAACCATCCAGGCTGTGCTCCCTCTCTCCCTAGAAGATAGGATTTCAGTCCTGTGACAGTCTGCCTGTGTTGCGGTGTGTGTGAGGGCTGCTGTACTCAGCTGTGAAGCCTGTGAAGATTTTATTACTGTGTGAGACAAGCAGTGGAGCAAACAGAGCAATGCTGGCAGGAGTGACAGCGAACAGTTACGTGGCTCCAGAAGTGAGATGTGTGGGTGGCTCCCATCCCTTAAATTTCATGGTGTTACAGAGTAATACAGGTGGTATCAAGCTGTGACTTACTGAGGCCCTTCATGCTTCCTCCAGCTGAGTGTTGCAAATTGCATTTGTTTTCCACTCTAGATACTTCAGATACGGCCTGTCTTCAGAGCCACTATTCAATATTAATGCCCATGTTGTGAAAATATAAAACAAACAAAAGAAAGCTCTGAGATTTGTCAGCAGATAATATTCTTCTCTTCCTCCTGCTGGTTTAAACTGTGAAGAACTTTGTGCTGTGTAATGTTGAATCCTTTGGTGGAGGAATGTAACAGCAGTGGGTGGTTGACCTCTGTGGTCGCTCAGTGCCAGATAGGTGAGAGGCAGGTTCAGAAGTAGCGAGTTGATTATCTCTTTGCCAGCATCCAAGTGCTGAACAAGGAAGCGTCTTTGATGAGGAAACAGTTT